TGAACTGAATTTAGCAATCGATATGCTTAAAAAGGAGAGGTAACACCGTGCTAACAGATGCTACCTTTGCAAATCTGATGAGGAAACGTGCAACCACTTACTTCTGACGTGTCCGACGACTTACAGCATCTGGACTACTGTTTTGGGCTTGCTGGGGTTAAATTGGGTGATGGTTGATAAAGTAAGTAGAGAGCTGTGGGCGTGGACGGGTTTTTGCAAAAAGAAAAGACATTTGTTCTTTATTCCACTAACTATTTTTGGGTAGAAAGAAAGATATGCGAAAATTTTTTAGAGTATTGAGACTAATTTATAAATATTAGAGATAGATAGATTCACACTTTTATTTATATTTTGTTAGGTTATGACATCAAAGATTGGGATGATTTTGGATTGTCATGAACCACTTGATTGACTTGTAACTATACTTTATATATGGGGGGTACCTCCTTGGTACTTTTGTGCATAATAATACTTTTCTTATATTTCAAAAAAAAAGTTGAACTGACTTTAGCAAGAAAATGTGCTAGATTTTTATTTTTCTAGTTTATATTAGTTTGAGAATTGAAATATGATTATGTATGAAATTTTGAAATTTTGTGGATTCTTTTTCTTCTAACAAATATAGATATGGATGCAATAGTTGAAAACTTACCATATCTTAATCTGTGCAGTCTGAATTTAGCATTTCTGTGGAACATATAACAGAAGATTTTCTTTTCCCAGTGCAGGTGGTATAAATAAGTGTTTTACATTGTTATGTTATTACCATTTCTTTGGAGAATTGGAGAATTTATCGGTGGCATACTGTGAATATGAGAGTGATGGACGTTGATGGAGGGAACAGCTCATCAATTGCACCTAGAGGTCAATCAGGTCGCATGCATTCTTCTTGGTGGGAAGAAGGTGATTTCTATTTTGGTGTCTTTGCAGCATCTAGTCAGGAGTTTGGTACTCTAATATTTGTAAAACAAATTCACTTTAGAAAGTTGTGAAGGAAAGTTGATGCTCAATGACCACTTTCAAGTTGAATCTACACATACGATCATGGACCCATATGCACACACAGTGAATATAAGTTTTCATAACAGTAAACAACTTTATCATGAGTTGGACGGCCCTATTCTCATTCCATATTCCTCTAGGATGAGTGAAAGAGTGTTATGAATAAGCATTCATGCAACGAATATGGAACAATATAGCTAGAACAAAATTATTGTCTTCCTAGAATTTGCAGAGATTAGAAACCTGTAAAACTTATGAAAAGGATATGTGATAGATAAGAAAAATGCATAATTGCTTCCATAAAAGAAAGGGTAGATGCATAAACTTATGCGATATTGTACAGGGGTGGTATGACAATCCATGACTCTCTAAATTCGAACTAACCAATTCAAACTCATTCTGGTTTTTACTGAAACTGAATTGGAAGGGATCGGGTCGGTTCTTTTCCTTTTTTGTATGTTATACAGGGAAGCTCATGTTGGGTTTTGGTGATGAAGAACTCACTCAAAAAGCAATTCGGTACTGTATATATAAATAAAGTACTATATTTTAAATTTTCAATTAACAACAAAGGACATATATACTTAAAATCCCCTAATTTCTAACCCTTTAGTCACTACCCATTCCCTACCCTAACTGACTACATCTCAGATCCACAAGCTTCCTCTTCTTCAAGCCACCTCTCCACCATTATCCTCCCATCTTCTTTAAGTCACACTGTTATCATCCAAGGTTCCCATCTTATTCACAGAGGTTCTTTTCTTTCTTCTTTTATTCCTTTTTCCATTCATGTCTATCTCCTCTGTCTTCTGCTTTTCTTTATGTTGTTGCATGCATGGTGTGGAACTGTGGAAGGCAATTTTGAGATATAGAAAATTACTAAATGCAGAAAAGGAAGGGGAGATGGGGGAAGAGAGAGAGAGAGAGAGAGAGAGAGAGAAAGAGAGAGAGAGAGAGAGAGAGAGAGAGAGAGAGAGAGTAGCCTTGAATTCAAGAGAGGAAAGAAATTACAAATTGGTGCAGTTCTTCTAGCATTCTGGAGCACAATGGGCGAGTTTAACCCAAAACCTACAGGTATTGCAAATAAATGCAAATTTTACAAATCTATCCTGGATCCGAAGCAGGTTCAGGTTTCTTCAATATATGGTTCCAGGTTGGGGTCAGGTTTTCCAAAACCAACCTCGAACCCAACCTGTTGCAATTCTATTGTTACATGTCTATTTTCTTCATGTACCTATGTGATCGATCTGATGGCAAATTTCTTAGCAGGCTCTCTCTTTAATAATTCAAAGGCTTAAAAAGTCAACAAGTTTTCTATAAAGTTAGCAACTGAAATTAGGAATGTGAAAAAATGATATGAAGTACGTAGTTGGTTTGACAAAGAGTTAGTTTGTACTGGAGGAATATTTTGCTTCTTTCGACATTCTGACGTAATGTTTTTACTACCCTGCTGTTCCCCCTTATATGAGTTGAAGACAATCCAACACACAACTGGAAAATAATATGATTGTTCCACAACCAGGCCAGGAAAGTAGATTAAGAGAGAGGATTACATGGAGGGAGGGGAATTGACTTGAGCTGAGGAGAAGGGAGAAGAGAGAGAAACAAAGGAGGAAGTAGAGAACGAGAATATGGGAGTAACTGTAAAAGGAACTTTAGAGATTTGGCTGGTTCAAAATGGCTATCCAACAATAGCAACATATCAAAAACGTCATCATTGGACCACTGAGAAAGCAGAAAAGTATAGCAAGCAAAAAACACAAATAGCACACAAGCATTCTAAAGTTCCAAGCCTAAATAAAACTATTTTGATTCCTACATTTACTAAACTAAAAATGCCTAAATATATGAAAATTATATAATTATTCTGAATCGGGACATGCAAGAGATTGTGTTTGCTGTCTTGTTCTGCATCACTTATTTTATGTTCTTGCATCCTTCATAGACACCATGTTGATATTTAAAACTTTCTCTCATCAATATGGCATGGTTCTTGCAGCTTTCTATCAATTTACACAGCAGAACCTACCTGCTTGTAAGCCTGTCCTGACACCAAGATGGGTGAGAACAAAGCATTCTTATCATTTGTGAAAATTCCTTTTTTCTTAAACTATTTTTCACATTTTTGATGATGACTGTTACATCTCAGGTAATCACTTCCTTTCTACTTCTGGGTATGATTTTCATTCCCATTGGACTAGTCAGTCTTCGTGCATCTCATAATGTAAATCCCCCTTTTAGTCGATTTAACCGATCTAGCAGTCTGGTGACTATTTAGAAATGTCTATGAATAATGTTGTTTTGATGCTTAATCGGTAGGTTATTGAAATTGTGGACCGATATGATGCTGAATGCGTACCTGATGAATTCAGTGGCAATAAGGTGTCATATATCAGCGATTCCTCTATTCCAAAAAACTGTACTCGATTCTTGAAGGTGATTATTCTTTTATTTGATGCTTTTTCTTAGTTAAACACTCAACATTTCTGACATTGCAAAAGCCAATTATTTTCTTTTCGTCTTTAATAGTGTAGTGACAGAATTAGAGATCTTTCCTTACGAAATAATTGATTATCAATTATCTAAAAGAAAAACCTTTGTTTTAATCCAATGAACAGCCATACTCAGAGGAAAAAAAGTGTCACGATTGGTTATCAAATGAAAATAAGAATTAACCATTAATAAAAAGTAAACCTAAATATGATGCCTTGTTCGGACTTCCATTGTAAGACTGTCACTCAATTCTTGTACCATTTGGTTTTAAGCTTTTAATCTACATGTATGACACTGGATGTTTTGGGAAATAAAAAGATATAAGGGGCACTTCTTTTTTTTTTTTGAAACAAAAAATATAGTATTGAAAAACCATCAAGAAGTGCAACCTGTATACAATAACTTTACAAGTCTATCAACACGTTAATCGATTCCCCTAAATCTTGACTAATTTAAAGAGGATGGCCTTCAATTAAAAAAAAGGATCTGAAACCAAGCATTTTCATCCTATCAAAGACCATTTTATGCACTCAAAAGCTTTTCTATTTCCATCTTTCTGTATAACCGATACAGTAGCCAAGAGGATAAAATTTAGATTCTCGTTATAGCTTTTATCCTCTTGGATGCTTTTCCAAGCCCAAATCTTCTCATTTATTGATCCTGCCTCGCAATTCACCCCTATAAGACTAATAAGCCAAACACAAAAACCGATAAGAGAAAGTAGATCTTAGGAGGAGATGGCTAACAATTCTGCTGCCCACTTGTATAAATAACATCCATTCACAATGACTTTCCCTTTCTTGCTCAGATTATTTTTGGTAAGCATACACCCTTTCTCTCTTCCCAGGAAGAAAAAGCTATTTTAGGAGATGCATTGACCCTTTAGATAAATTTTCATGGAAAATCTTCATTGGTCCTCCACTTACGGCCAAATGGGACTTCTTTTTACTTTTAGAAGCCTTTCTGATAGGAAGACCGCAGTTTTATCCTCCTTGTTATGCATTCTCTAACCTTATGGCTATACGCTATATGCCACATCCATTTGAAATTTGGATGCGTCTCTTAACAGGATCAAACTAATGGCTTCCTGTAAATGCGGACACCAAATTTTGCTGTTTGGCCCAGTGTTTGTATTATGTGCCAAAGCAGTGTAATATGGGTGTGCTGATTGTCTACAAGGTTGTTTGTTACATTTGGATTGACTTGGGTTACTTTACCTTTCGTGGAATGCTTCCTGGGTTATACTATCCGGTGGTTTGGAGTGAGGAAGATAGTGCAACCTCTTTAGCAAGGAGCTATATTTGCAGGGGATTGTGGTTAATTTGGCCAGACAGAAACCATAGAGTTTTGAAAGTAAATTTTGGACTAAGTATAGAATGTGGAAGCATATGAGCGTCCTTATGAGTCAAGGCTCATGGCATTTTTATGAATTTGCAATCCCTGTATTAAAGAAAAACTCGGGCTGCTATAAGTTTTGAACAATAGTGTATTTGCATGTGTGCTTGATTTGTGTGTGGTTTCATGCTCTATTCATTCTTTTATTTTCCTTTTCTTTTCTAACATTTTGGGGGCATCTCTTATTCTCCATACTTGGAATTATATCTTTCTCATCTTGATACTCCTTATATAAAAAAAGATTTTATAGAGAATAACCATTTCTATCTAAGTCACAAAATTGGTTCATCCAAGGTGTTTGAAGGCATTCCCATTGAGACAAACACTGAAATAAGTTTGCATATTCTTTCACCTCCCAATAATTAAGATTCCTTACCAAATTCACTACCCAAATTCCATTACCCTCTGAATTTGAGAAGGATTATGCAACTGTTGCCTCCTTGTTGCGGCCAAGGAAGGGGAAACAAAGTTTTCCACCTTCCATCCATCCGTTTGACCAGAATCTCATTTTTTGATCAAATCCAACCTTCCATGCTATAATTGCCTGAAACTCCTATTTTCTTATACCAATTTTCTTCCATAGGCCAACACCATATGGGTTTCTTGAGTTCTTGGGGTACCACCCCATTCTGTCAATGTCAAACCTAGCTTTGATAACCCTCCATCAAAAGTTATCTTTTTCTTTCATTAATTTCCAGAGTCACTTTCCTTCTAAGACTTTGTCAACTCAATCATTTAATTTGATACTAAGGCCTCCCATATATTATGAATCTTTGACCGATTTCCAAGCGAATAGATAGAAACTCCTCTTCTCAATTAAGTCACTCCATAAGAATCTAGATTGAATGGCTTCCCACTTCTTTGTCATACTCACTTGAATAGTCAGTATCAATAAAAAGTAAATTGATAAGTTGACAAATGCACTCTTGATAAGAGTCAATCTTCCCCTTTTGACACGACTCACTAATTTGGCATCAACTATTGACAAATGGGATCCTAAATGGAATGTCGTTGAATTCAAAACGCAAGGTTAGACCCAAGTACTTCATAGGAAGATCACCATTCTACGTCTCTAGAATGCTCTAGCCAAGTTATCAGAATCTTTCTAGTCCGAAACAGTTCTGACTTTCATGTTTATCTTGAATTTAGAAAACACTTGAAAACAAAGGAACACATATCTAATACATAGTAAGAAGTGTCGTTCAGGCTTACAAATAGTATATTTTCGTTTGCAAAAAGTAGGCGGGTAACCTCCTTAGATCAAATTTTTTAGGAATCCCAAACACCCTCTAAATATTCTATTCTCAAATTTTTAGGTTTTTACTTTTTATCTAACTAATTTATTTGATTACTTTTTTTTTTTTATCTTTTTAAAATTAAGAATATATATAACAAATAAAATCATAAAATAGTTGTAATAAATTTACTAAAAGCAACACTTGATTTTTTGCAACAAACATTTTATCCAAACTCATAATTTTTTAATTTTTAAATAAAAAAAAGAACCTGCTTTTAAGTAACTTAAAGGCATCTCATCATTTTAAGCAATTTCCTTCTGTAATCTCAGACACTCTTTGTTCTTCTATAAACTAAATGCCATCTCTTCCTCTTGATAGATATTGTTATTACTGATCTTGTGCCAAATATGCATCCACTATTGGTGCTTTTTGAAGTGTTTTCCTTTTTCTCAAAAAAAAAAAGTCTTTATATTGTTTCTCTCTGTTCACATTGTTCTTTTTCTATACAACCTTGCTTTATAGGTGCACAAGCATATGAAAGCTCCAATTTATGTCTACTATCATCTTGATAATTACTATCAAAACCACCGGCGGTAAGGAGCTTTCTTTGTCCAATATGTTAAATAGCTATTTTCTGTCTTATCAACCTTAAATGAGACTGGTGGTCCCACTAATTTGTTTGAAGATTCTGATTAGTAACAAAACTAGTCTCATTTCACTGATAATAATCTTTCACCGTCTTTGAACATGCGCTTCCTAAAAACTCTATATTTTGTATTCATGGGGACCCAAAAAGTCAATTATCCTTGGTTACCATCCCATAATTATTCTCTTGACTTTGTATCTCTGATTTTCAAATATTTTCAGGTATGTTAAAAGTAGAAGCGATCAACAACTCTTAAAGGGACTTGATTATGTTGCCACAAGTTCCTGTCAACCTGCAGAGTTCAATAATGGTCTGCCCATTGTCCCCTGCGGATTGATAGCATGGAGTTTGTTTAATGATACTTTTACATTTATCCATGAAAGCAAAGAATTGAAGGTCAGCCGGAAGAACATTTCATGGAAGAGTGATCGCGATTATAAATTTGGAAAGAATGTATATCCTTTCAATTTCCAGAATGGAACTTTTGTTGGTGGTGGGAAGCTAGATCCAAGGATTCCTGTGAGTATTCTCTCAGTTCAGTCACTTCTGCATTCTTTCATTTTGAATATGGTTTATATTTTATGATGCTATTTTCACACAACCTGACTTGTATATGTCACATTATCTTCGTTTGTTATATATAATTTTTTGAGATAACATCATTTGTTATATGTATAATGTTTAATCTTACTAGCCAAGAACTGAAAGCTATGCAGATCTTCTTTAATCATTAAAAAGAAAATAGAAGCCTGTTTTTTCAGTGACAATTTTTCCATCATTATTCTACACAAGTTTGTAATACCATAGAAAACTTCTAAAAGGTTGTTGTGATTATATCCAATGTTTTTTGACGTCTGCTGTTTTCTACCGATAGAGAAAGTATCTTCTCTACAACTGATGTAATTTTCCTTTTAGGTTTCGTCCTTCTTTAAAACTTGTCTCTCACCATGCTATTGCTTTTTTCTTCT